TTACCATCTTTCCTGCAGTTCGAATACATAATTTCTAAGAACTAAATGAAGTCTGTTAATATCATGCAACACTGCTTCTAAAGCTTTTAAAATGTCCTCCTTCTGACCTCATTTATCTTCATCTGACACTTCAGTTTTGTGCATTTTATTAACAGTGAGTCAGTCCAATTTGCTGTCACTGTTTATTTCGGGGGAAGGTGTGCAATAAAAAGCTGAAAAAAGATATTATATCATAGTTTTCAGTAACATGCATGCCCTTTTTATTTCCTGACAAAAAATATTTTTCAGTAATATTACTGTACAATAAATAGGTTTAAATCACCAGCATTTGATGAGCCTGGATGTGTTTTTCCTCAATTGACTGCACACCAGACTGGGTCAGGACATGTGATTTTCAACAAAACATAAGTAATATTTCACCCCTGAGTTTATAAGCTTCTTGCATAGTGTGTTAAACTGATGTCATAATGGTATTTTCTCCTCTTCAAGTGACATGGGAACATTTTACCACTGGTATGCTGCTAAACAAGATCAACAGCATAAATGAAGGGGTTTTTTGCTTATGCCAACTAGTCAAAAAACAAACTTTTCTGAAAAAAATCCTGTTGTTATACTCAAGTGTTCTGCAAAGACATAGGGGAACTCATCTTGCCCTAGAGCGTGCTTAATAAGAAAAAGATTGATTACCACTAGGATTTTATTTTAGGGGGGATTTGTTCATCTATTCTATTCAAGTATAACATCAGTCATCTTACAAAGTCTTAACAGGCAGCTGTATTGTCTTTCTTTAGCTGATCCGAAACCAACTGCTTAACCCCAACTTTTTTGACGGCGACTCCAGTACGCAAGTTCCTGAACGTAGCAGACTCCACTGAATGTTGTCACTTTCTGCTGCATGTCCTGCTAAAATACACTCCCAACTAAATTTGGGGCAGCTCCTCTGGACAGTCTCTTCTAAGCAAACTGATATGTGAGCTCTCACGGGAAACCCTTCCTTTGACCTGTGCTACTCCTGCCCAGCTCCCCTGAGAGGAACACCAGCTACTGCAGTTTGAGGTCATTCAACATGTGAAATGTGATCTGAGAGTCAAGTGCTGTTAGTCCAAAGTCATGACTTAGTCAATAAGCGTAGCTTTTTTAAAATGTCTCTCTGCATAATTGTTTCAGTGCCACATAAATACTATTGCAGGCTTGTTTTCTGTTTAGCAAAGGCTATAACACTATTACTACATGCTGTTGTGTTTTTACAAAGACAGTACGAGGGCTGGGATCTTCCAGGTCAGCTTTCCATTTGCAACAGAAACTGCTGATGCAAAAGAGACATTTTTATTGCACTGTTTTTGTTCAGAAAAGTAAGGAAGCCTTGTTTCTGTCAACAGGAGCGTAAAGTTCTGTTTGCAGAACTTTAAACAGCTCTTCCCAGCTGTTGGAAGCAATTCTTTCACATTTATTTTTCTCTGGCAAAGACAACTCTTTTAACCTTTTTTCACAAAATCAATTAATTTTCTTCCTTCAGCCTCCACATTCTTCATCTGGGATACTGCTAGTTTAAGGCCCCTCAAAGTCAAACAGCTAGGAAAGATGAGCTGAGCATTCCTGGAGTTGCAGAGCAGCTGCACACAAAAAGAAAATTGTATTTTCAAGTGCCAGACAAAAAATAATTTTAACCTGCAAAAACATGAAAACAACTTTTTGTGTAATATTACAAGATGATTTAACTCCTTCTGTGCAGCGTTTCATTCTTTCACTCTTCAATTGATTTTAATTTATTTTTTATGAGCAGGTGAACATTTAGTTCAATGCACAATAGTAATGATGATGGCATTACATTTGTGCACTGAATTCTATCATAAAAAGAAAGAAAATACTTTATTAACTAATACAAGCATAAGAAACACATATTCTTATATAATTACACATCGACAAGCTCTGAGTAATTAAATAACATGTGGATTTGACTTTAAACTGGATAATCATTATTCTAAGTCCGGGTCATGCATTGTAAGATTTTAGTTCAAAATCAACTGGTTCAAAATAACGTATGTTTCTCCCCCATTTTTAGTCAAGTCATAAAAGGTTCCTGGCTAACAGTTTAGTGTACCATTCTTTCCAGTAAAAGGCACGTGACAGAGACTAGAACAACACAGATGTTCTGACAGAGGGGTATCTCTTTGAAGCACCTACAGCTGTGTGCTTCTACCACTTCAGGATCAATTATATATTCTTGACCATCAGTAGACTCCTCATGAGACATCAATTTCTATTATTTTTTAAAAACAGATTATGCCACCTTACACTAAAACTATAAGGAACCTGATGATAAAGAATTACCATGGGAAAATATTGTCCTCATGCAAAACTGTTTTCAACCCTTTACCTTTGAGTACGTTTCCTCACTGTTCTTGATCTGCAACCGCTCAGGATCATATAACAAAACAAAACAGAAGATAGGAGTGGATACCTAATCTTCACAACTTTTAGCTTTTATATTAGCCTTACTAAGAAGTATTTGTGCATATGCTCCTTTGCTTACTCTAGATTTACATTCACAGTATGACAAACAGACTATTGACCAATGTCACATCTTTAACTATGATGCTATAACGTTCATGAAATACTCCCGTGATGTAACATTACATATTTTCTGAAGTAGGACATGAACTCAAGTGAGGAAAGGATGTAAGAACCATTTGTTTGCCTCTGAGAAGGAGCTACAAGTGTGTTGAAACCAATCAGCTGACAAAGCTCATTCTACAGCTGCTACAAAAATACAACTGCCCTCCCTTTTAAATACATAAAGCAGTAGCTTGGATTCAGTGTGCCTTCAAAATTACCGTACTACCTGTACATTTACATTACTATCTCTTCTTCTGTGATTCTAAAGCGAATTGCTCCAGTACAGTTCCCATACTGTTCCAGTACAGCTCCCATTGCTCCTCCTTCTATTCCCTCTTGTTTAACCTGGACCAAAATACTCTGACCTCCATCAAATCTCATCAGCACTTCTGCACAAACGTTCGCCAGTGATATCCTATTTGTTACTACAAAGACAACAAGACAAATTAATTCCAGGAAAACTCAGAACCTTTTGCTTAAATTACTTTTTCAAACCTTTTGCTCAATAGCAAAGTCACAAAAGAGAGACTAGGAGCAGGGTCAATTCATTTAATGTTATTTTCAGAAATGATAAATGGGGAGAGGAGGCTCTATTACTATGCTTTTTCAGGTTATCGCTCTAGAACCATTCATCCTTTTTGTTTAAAAAGCCCAAACGAAATGAACAACTTCAATTCATAAAAAAAATTTTAAAGGTTTGGGCCTAGTATTACCTCTATTTAACTGTCAAAGCTTGCTACAAGCCTTTACAGGGAAAGAACTGCAAGCAAAGATATTATAAAGCTTGTATGCTTTGCATACGAGCTGCATCCTTTCATATATTGGTAAATACAGTTGCCTTTTTTCCCCCACAAATTTAAATTTGGAAATTTTTTTTTCAATATTATATTTCTTCTTAGCTGGAAAGATTCTCTCCTATCTGGATCTATGAAAATCCACAATACACTTTCAAGGAATGACATGGTACATATCCTTTATGAAATTGATTCAAAACAAAGAAAAAGGTGACTATAATCAGAAATCTTTTTTTAAAATGTCTCACGAATATTGCTGTTTTCCTGTATTGCAAAGCATACGCTTTAGTGAACTGGAGATCCAGCCGAACATTTTTTAATAAGTAGCAATTAACCCTCTGGTGGCTATGAGTAATGAGTCAACATTTCCTTAAAGGAAAGGAAAAAAAAAGCGCTACCTACCACTACAATTTTAATCTATATCAGATATAGGGCACAGATTAGATTCCTGCAAACGGAAATGCGTAGGTGACCCCACCCTTGCAGAGACCCAGTTATGCCACTGGGGATCCGTTCACCCCCGCTCATCCCATTAGGTAAACGTGCCTGAATATACTGATTTACAACAGACAACCTGAAATGTCTTCTGTATTCCATCTGTCTTACAACACACCACATTGACATACATATTGGAAAACATCCACATGAATGTTCAAATTTAAATCTAACTGGAAGAAATCAAATTAAAAGCCATAATGAAATGCTCACTTCCGATTCTTGTAATTTCTTAATCTTGCATCTATACTGTGGCATTTTGTTAACTAACTTCTTAAAGAAAAAAAAAAAGTCGTCTATTTCCACATATAATATGTGGCAATTTTTCTTTGCAATATCAAATATTTCACTGACACCATTTTAGAGCCAGCATTTTGATTAGCATCAAGACAGTAAAAATTGCAACCATGCAAAGACCATGTGGACTTTAAGAAGTTTAGATTATAAACTCTGTCATAGCCAAACAACAGTAATATTTACTTTTAAAAGATATATTTGAAAATCTATTTAGTCAAATTTAATTAGTGCATTTATTTCATAGGAATGCACTGGATCATATTTGAGAAAATAGTATTTGATAAACTGTTATTAAGTTTTAGATCTAACTATTTTCTTCTTGTCATGACCGTCGGTTTTATTAGCTAATTAAGATAAAAGTTAAACTTGAGGAAGACAGGCATACTTCAAAGGGACACAGTGCCCTATCTCGTATTGATGAGTTATGGTTCTGTCAGTAACATGGCTCCAACTAAACTATTTGTGCCTCTGACATTTTGAGGTTTGTAAGTTGTCCCATGGTTGGCAAAAGTGACTTGGTAGAAACCACCCAGTATCTTCTTCCTTTCAGCTTTACTTTAAGAAATACATAAGAGCTGTACAATTTAACCTCTACACAGTCATTAAGATCTAATACTTCCCTCCTAAGAAGCCTTAGATTAGCATTAGAGGAAAAACCTTCCAGAATCAGATGACCTGTTACAACGCAGAGAAAACTGATGTTAGGCTGAGCACTCAGGAGCACACACAGATTAATTACACGAAGCCTCGGTCTGTACTGAGCTGCACGAGAAGGCCGTCGGAATCAATGTACAGTACCTTTCATCTTGTCCCAGATCCTCACTGTCTGGCATTTCAGATGTAAAAGGGAATGATCTCTCCCTCTCTCTACCAATCTAGATAATCCAGGCAACAGTCTTCTAGTCTGTTTTGTGTTTTAGAAGCACCAACCCAGGCACCTGTCCTGTTTGCTGCTGAGAGGAGCGTTCCTTGCTCGGAGAGCAAATGTTTACAAGACATCCTAAGTGCCTGCTGGACTTGAATGAAGTTCAGAGCGTTTGGCTTTGATTGGCCAAGGCTATAAATAAACAAGTCGTGACTCACCTCGCACACTATGACAGGGTGTTTAGTAGCAAGCGCAGCCAAAAGCAAAACAGATGTGGGGTGGTTTTTTTTGCCTCTTCTGGTCATGTGAGGGACACTCACCACCCAGTTAGGACATTTCATTTTTTTGCTTCTCCTGGAAATCATCCTCAACATCTCCCATTTTTCTCAGGTATTAGTGAGCAGCAACCAAAATGACAGGAAGCTAAATGACATGAACTTTAAAGTAATATGCTTAAAAATACAAGAGCAACGAGCTTACTCTAACTGTAAAAATATCCTTTTATTCCTCCCCACAAAGTGTCAGTCACAGGCTGTCAGAAGAAACAAAATTACTCTCCACTGACTAAATTCACAGATGAAAAAAAACACCTCAGCAATTCTTTTAAAATAAGGAATAGGAAGACAAGTTTTCTATAAAGATTAACTGCATTGTTTTTAAACTCTGAATTCAAGCTTGTCTGCCACAAGCACTCTTGGCTATCACAGGGATACCAGCAAATGGTACTGGAAGAGCCCTCAGAATCAAAGTATGCCGACAGGAGAAGGTGTTCTGCCAAAATACTTGGAATGCCTCTATGAACAACCTAACGTGAATTGACAGATTCACCTTCCTCCCACGGCTCTTTGCTGTGTGCATGACACGGACTCTGTCACTCCAGCTACATCTCTACATTTATCAACACTCCTGCAACCTTATCTGTGCTGATGAAGCTTTGTTGTGCAGCCCAAGACTCCAAGAATCACGTGCAATGTTCCTCATTGCTCAGCCCTGCTCCTTCACATGGCTTCCTTCTTCCATTGAACAGCTTGACCTATTGTTCTTAAAGTATTCTGAGATAAATACTACATACAGAGATCTACACAGGGAAATCTTTTTTTCTAGGAAGAAACCCAAGAAGATTTAGACCAGCCTCTCCTGCATGAGATAGCAGGAATTGTCCTGGGGATGTCAAATCTTAAAAATAAGTTTTTAAAAAATAAGCAAAGCTGCAATTAAAGGTATGCCAGATAAAAAGAAAAACAAGCATTCCTTGCCTTTGATTTGATAAGCTCTGTTTAGTTCATTGTGGGTAATGCATCATTCACTGGAAAGCTGCTTAACTTTCAAAACTGCAAAGGATTCTATCCTTTCTTCCTATTTTAATATAAAATGCACAATGACTAGTAAGATCTAGATAGAAATTGCAAGAATTCCCCAAACCATATAATCATAGATCACTTTAAATTGCGTGATTTATATTTACTGTGCATCTGAATTAATAAAATGATCTCAGGAAATGATGAGAAAACAAAATGAAACAGGAATGCTGCCTATCTGTGAATGACAACTTCCCTAACTCCCAACATTCCCCTTAGTTCCTTTACTTAATCTCATCCAATCTTCCATATTCACACCTTTCCTTAGTCTTCCACAAGACATGTTACTCCTGAAGCAGTTTAATCATACCAGACTTTTAAATGAGGGAGAAGAAAAGCAGGAGTAACGTCCTATGTCTAAATTATGCAAAGCAATATATAAATATGTATTAATAAACGTTCTGCCCTACTCAACAGAGATGTTCCATGGTCACCTAAGTCTGCATATTTCAATGTAATCCTCTTCTTTTTTTTTTCTTCTACTTTTGATAGTTATAGCTGAAATAATTAGAGGTGAATTTCCTTCAAGCTTACCCTGAAATAAGAGAGCCGCTAAATAAAAAAATCTTAATTAATAAAATCGTTTTGTATGACAGATTCCTTTTCAGATCAAAATTCTGAAGTCCTCTAATCAAGAAAAGAATCAAAGGAAATAACTGCAATCTGCAAACACACAAAAGCATCATTCAAATTTAAATGTAGCATCAAAGAAGAAAGTAAGCAAAACTAATCCCCTTGTGCCATGCAAGTTGTTTTTGTTTGTTTCCATGCATTGCAATCTTACATAGCCACATATATTCACTATGTGAAATGCCTTTTTACAAAATATTCCTTTTTTATGCATTTGATGATTACACTCAGGAGTTGAAAAGCTTTCAGGGTCATGTTTATCCCTGTATTTCAGTCTTGGAACTCAATGTACTCCAAAGTCTTCAAGTACCACTTGAAGTCCTGAAGTTCATTTCCTTGTTGCACTCTGCACATATTGCTCACCGCTACTGCAGAAAAACAGTTACTGTCTATTTTTACAATTCCTTAGAACCCTTTCCCAGCTCTCAGTGAGGTAAGGAGCTTAATATCACCTGATTTACTTATTGATAAACAAGTGCTGGAAAGATTAAGTTCGAAAGTGTCTACTAAATGAGTACCCAACTGAAATGTCAAGCACCTGTTAACTTGGAAGTAGAGCATTTATAAAACACTCCTGTACTCAAAGACAAGTTTCTACTGACATCACTGCTCATCATTTTTGCAAAGTAGACTTTGGAACAGCACATTTATGAGCGCATAATTAGCCAAACCTCAATCACACTAAATTATTTTGCTTAGTATCACAAAGAAGACTATCTAGAAAATTAATCTCAATTTTTTGATCATTCCAGATTCTTCCCCACCCGAGGGAATCAGAGCTTGTATTCGTCCATCTCGAGATTTCCAGTAGGTCAGGCTCCAAACTATTTCGCAGCTGCATGAGATGGAGTGACCTCTCTGTGTACACTTGGGTGGAACATCAGCAGGTGAGCAAAGGTACTCTACTGATCGCGCCAAAGGGCTTCTGTCATCTCCCACTGTGTCCAAAAGCACAGCCTAAGGAAAAATGCATTGCTGCCCTCTCCAAATAGTCTTCCAGACTCCAACTTGTGGCTCACAGGTTTCCTGAACCAGCAGTAATGTCTGTGTTTTTAGCTCTGAGTGGATTTCTATCCTGTGATAGCATCTGTGGCATCTTGTGGCAAGGACTTCTGCAGCTTAACCAGATACAAAAACAAAAAAACAACCAAACCCCACCAGTTTTGTGTGCTCTGATCTAGCCACTTCAACTGATTTCTAAGAAGTCCTATACTGGAATAGGTAGATGACAGTTACCTCTCTAGCTTTTCACAGCTATTCATCACTTTTGCAGATCATTATCATATTCTTTTTGATGGGACTGCAAAACTGAAGGGTGGAGATGCATAGAAAAGAGCTTGCCTTGTATTAGAATTACTAAGAATCACAGAATCAGTTAAAAATCAGTTTTGAACTTTTTCAACATGGTAAACGCAAAGTTACTAGAAATTACAGAATTGAGGAAGGAAAAGCTCTTTCCTACCCATGTTACTTTTCAGGAGGTTCTTACTTCCTTGCCTAGTTGTAGCTAATGTTGCAACTTTCTGAACTGCAGAGGACTTGGGTCAGTCCTCGCTGCCCCTTCTAAGTTCATTCTTGCTGCCTCTGAGGCATCAATTCACGTGACTAATCTCTGCTCCTCTCACCAACTTCCTTGCTCGAGCTGCTATCGTCCAGCGTTGCCGTGTCTTTCTCACTTCTCACATCCAGCATTTTCTGAAATTTTCCCTTCCCTTGGCTCCGTTGGTTCCTCAACAGAAAGAGCAAGCCCTTCCACCTTATAGGAAGTTCTTCCCCCTGGTCTCTTTACTTCTGAAAGGAACATGAAAGCACTTTGTAATCAAAGGGAGAAAGATACTATCGATCGTGTTCTGCTCTTTGTCAGCTCATTCCACTTTAAAAGCCCTATTTTGCTCACTTGTTTCATTCAGGTAAGTTGTTCCATGCTCTCAAATATTCTTGCTGTTCTTTTCCAAGCTATTCCTACATTTATTATAACCAATTTAAGATGGGAGAGACCAGAAATGTACACCACTATTCCTGGTGAAGGCACACTACTGACCATTTCTGTGAGTTGTTCCTCACACTCTGTAGGCCCTTGTTACCACATTTTTACACACTTCTTTCCAGCGTACAGGGCCTTCTTTATTTCATTTGGATTTTGTTTGGAATCAATCCTCTGTATTTCTGTTAATCTCCATTACCCTGTTCCTTAACTAAATAGACCTCTTCCAGAGCTTTCTGAAAACTTCCTTGAGAGCTGGCAAGTAATGGCTCTCTTTACCGTCAGGTATTAAGACAACCCAAAAGATGTGCTGGCAGATCAAATGCCAGCCTGACATACTGCTTGATAAGGGAATCTTACCAGTTTTGCTCTTGCTGAGTGGAGATTTGGGCTAAACATGTGCTATAATTATTGAGTAAATGGTCTTCCCCCAAAACAGTGTAGACATCTTTGTGAAATTCTCCTGTTAGAAGCAGGCACCAAATATTTCAGAGGAAGTCATCAGCAAAAGAAGGAAAATAAAGGCTCTGGTCTTGCCTCTCATACTGAGAGGACTCAAAATAAGTGTCAGATGCACTGGTTTGCATAGGTACTGAAGATGCTCAAGGGCTTTAGCAGGCAGGTGAAAGGCAGCGTGCTGTCCCTGTGGAGCGCAAGGGGGATGATCTGGCCTTTCGTGGTCAATGGTGCACCCCACCCAGCCTGCAAGCTTTCAAAGATTTTACTTAGTCAGCCTGTGGCATGCTTTAGCTGCTCAGTTGGCTCAGAACTAGTCACAGTCACTGCCACCTTCTACATCTCTCCTCATCAAAAAGGAGAGTAAGATGGTGCTTTCAGCAGATAGACCTGTTCTAATTATACAGCTATGAATGAGTGTCATTTCTAATAATGTGGAAGAAAAAATAATGAACGCCATATGACACATTTAAAGACATCCTAAAAAACCTCAACTGACTCTGCAAAAAAACACACTCCAAAAAACCCATCCAGTTCAGTTCATATTTTCAGAAGGAATGGAAAGCTTAGCATTTTGCTTCTTGTAGACAATTTATGCTGACATTATTTTCAGCAAGAGATGGTAATTTAAAAATGACTATCGTTGTCAAAGGCATGTTTAAGATTAAAACTAATTTGAAATGCATGTTTC